CATTGCTCCTTTTCCAACCCCCCACTTGACAGCCCACTGTACCTATCCCCTCCCCAAAACATCGATGAACGAAACTGCGCCAGCTACAACCACTGTACGACGAGTACGCGGTTATTACGGTTGACAATGATGATAATGATACACTCATTTTCAAACTAATTTGGTTTTTCGAAAGACTCACCTGGAACCCAGCTGAATCTCTCGGTTTTGATGTTTCCAGGCATTACAAAAATGTATATGTATCACGATTTCTCGAATATCGTAGCGACTGAAACATGAGGCGGCCTGGTGCAGCACATTTAGTTGTCTGGAAACATCACAAACTAGAGATTCAGCTGGGTTCCAGGTGAGTCTCTCGAAAAAACCAAATTAGTTTGCAAATGGGTGTACATTCGCTAATTTCGTGCAATTCGGTTTAATAATTGTGGCGTCACTTCTCACCCCCTTTGGGTCACCTTTTCGGAAATCAAAGGATGTTAACATCGTTCAGCATGACAGCTTTGTGCTTGAAATTTCTCCGCATGCCTCCGAAACCTCGGGGTCGAAATGTTCCCGGGACATACGCTCACAGACATTGAATATGCAGACGATATTGCTCTCCTTGGTTCAGATCCTTCTAAAATGCAAATAATCTTAAATAGCCTAAACAACTTTGTGGCACGGTTCGGCGTCCGCTTCACACCTGCAAAATGTCAAGTGCTTCTACACGACTGGAATCAAACTCAGACCTCATGCTTGCGATCGACGTGGCGGAGAAGTTTGTTTACCCAGGCAGCTGTATGAGTTCCGGTGGATTGGCTGGAGAAGATAATCTGGAAGGTCAGGGCAGCTTCTGCCGATCTCGGACACCTGTGGAGCCGACGTGACGTCAGTTTGTCCGTCGAAGGCAGAGTAGTGCGATAGTGCGGTAGTGTGATCCATACTGCTTTATGAGTCAGAGAACAGAAGGCAGAGTAGTGCGATAGTGCGATCCATACTGCTTTATGAGTCAGAGAACATACGAAAGATGCCAATTTTCAACCATCTGTGTCTCTGAAGCTTTGATCGAGGCTGGTGAAAACATCAGATGAGTAATGTTGAGGAACGCCATATGGTCTTAGGAACAGGGAACTCTCCCTCGATAGATGAATTACTCACGATCCATAGGTTACGCTGGTTAGAACAAGTACTCTGCATCTCAGAAGACCGTCTGCTCCGCAGAGCTGTTTTCGCCTAGCCTTGTGCTGAGTCGAAGCGACGGAGGGGTTGACAGTGTATGATCTGGCAATGAAGTATTGGACACTAAACAGTAAACTTAGTCGGTTCGGCAACTGCCTCCTCCCTGGATGGGGACCCCGAGACTCAACTCACAGATGGTTAGTGACACTGGCAAAAATGACCCAATCGCGCAGTCAGTGGCACTCTTGTATCAAAGCTGTCGCCTTCAATGCATAGCTAACAGTCAGTGGCACCCTTGTATCAAAGCTGTCGCCTTCAATGCGTAGCTACCCAGTTCCCGAACTAACCATATTTGCCATCGCCTCCAAGGATTGGCTGTATGTTCCACACCCTCCCACTTTCCGGTGATCTAATTTGTAGCAGCTGGAACCAATGTGCCCATGGTACGCGGTTCACTGCTGATAAATTGGTTGATTGTGACTGATGAAGCTTTTCTAGTCAATGCTATAGTCGTTTTGGAGCATTTGAGTCCAAATGATAGATTAAACTTCAGTTGCGAGGCTGACAGTCTACCTGATTGGCTGATGACCAAGTTGTGGTGACTATTTCCCTGTTCCTTAGGGGTGTAACGAAACCATTTGAGCCCATTCAGAAAAACGTCATGGAACACTACTCAAGCAACACAAAACCGTTTCAGAATATCATTCAACGGTTCCAATAGAGTCGAAAACTAATGAAGATGTAGAACTTATCGCACGCCGCTTTCCACTCCTATCATGCGACCAGACCTCACTGTGATTAACAACTTGTGTGCCTCCGTGGCCCATTTATCTACACTGGATGGTTTCCATGAGATCCTCACAGGACCTCTCATACCAGGTTGGTAAGTGGTTAGATTTCTGACTAACACAGTCTCCTGGTCCTCCAGATTGGCAGTTGGAATATATATGTACCGCGTAACCATGTGCCGCCAAGCATCCCTGCCTTTCGGTCAGGCTTTTGATCCGAAAACTTTGTTTGAGGACCCTAATCGTCATCCTGTTCAGGTTTTAGTGCTCTGGCAGTAGTTCAACCCGCGTACTACCATGATTCCTGCAACTAAAAATACGTCACATTGGCCGTCGTGGCTTCATACAGTAGGGCGGGTAAGCAAGAACAGGTTACTTCTGTTTTTTCCACTTTCCTCCCCGTCCTCCTCTGTGAATTAAAGAATAAAGATTCCATCGGTCTTATACGGAGGTAGTTCAATCACGACTGGTCAGCTACTCCTGTGATAGAACGAATAATGAGTAAGCACAGGTCATATCACGTGTGGTCGGGTCGAAGAAGTGCGGGTAGTCAATGTGTGTGATTAACTGACATCCGTAGATGTCTAAAGTGATCGTTAGCATGGTCTTGTGAATAAAACGCTAAGAGAGATTAGAAAGTGATGGCATTTAAAGATAGCGGTCTGAAATTTAACTACAAGCAATGCGATAAATCACAAGGTCAAATTTATGGTCAGCTCCAAAAGCGGATATGGCGAAATTGCTGGAGCTGAAGTCTCGATGAAGCCTCTCGTGTTATTCTTCTGTACAACGTGCACCACACGGGTTCCTTCGAGATTCCATTGCGAAGACGTTCTGTTTTTCGAATGAAGTAGTTTGGGATGGTTGCTTAAAATCCACAGACAGCCGACTACTGGTTTCACTCTGTGTCGCTTTTGAAATGCAGATGCTGGCCTTTCCACATCTACTCACTATGAATGCTAGTCGTCCTGTTTTGTGACAAACCTTACATAGGGAGAATTCATTCTGCTGTCTTTTTCACGGTGAACTGTAAGCTTTTTGGAGCGGCTTAGTACGCGATGGAAGCCTTGCACCTGTCCATGGCTCAGCAGCGTGTGATACTGAATGAGTAGCTCTTTTCTGATACTGTGGCTTTCCAGCATCCAGGTTGGAAACTTATATCAGACCTTGAAATAGTGAAAGCTTTTCAATGATTCTTTCATCCATGCGCGTGGTTAGCAGCCACCAACCCACGTATCTAAGAGACAACCAATTTGCTTCAACCCAAGACTTAGTAAGTAAGCGTAACAACTTTAACACATCACCGACGTCATCATTCCTTGGTATAGTAAATGCCTACGACAATTCATTGTACACAGTCCAAACTGGATTGTTATACACGACATCAGGTGTGAACCTAGTATGCCTTTTCTGTGACCCGCTAGCAAGTTGGATTGCTGAGGTGTAAGGAACCAAGACCCCTGCAATCAAGCGAAAGCAACAACCAAAAAACGCCCCATGATTTCACTTACGGACCACATGGTTGTTCTCATACTGACCAACAATGAGGTCGGAACATCTAGCAACCAGGTCCATATGCCTAGTTGAATTCACCGAATGTCTACAATAACATGATAAGGACGTAATATTTATTCACATAGCTCCTGACCGGAAGGCCACTGGTTTCCCTCACACCTCTAAAATTTGGAGCACATCTGCCCAGGCTCTAGCGGCCTATGAGTATTCCGGCCCCTGTGTTTATTTCATGATGTATCACAGTCACAGTTCAATGTTTCAGGAACTACGTCGTTTATTTGGGAAGGACGCGCCGATAACCAAAGATTTAACGAATGTTTGTCGGCAATCAACCTGTTCTGTATTATGCTGATAAACATTCAGTTAGAACAATGTACGTATATCTGATTGTGAGATGCGGAAGAGGAAGTCTATTTTTGATAACCAGGAATGTTTATTAAAGTGGAGATGTCTACACAACTCAGATGTGGCCTCTGCTGGGCTCTGAGAACGCAGTTAATTATTTTGTGCTTATGAGGTGATTGGTTTCACAGCCGTGAATCGTGTGCAAATGTACGGTCGTTCGGTCGTCACAAATTGTGGCTTTATTAGGGTGAGATAGAGGGAATAAAGAAAGAAAAGGTTTAACGACTGAGAACAAGAAAATAGAAATAGAACCGCCAGTGATTGCGTGACATCGTCATATCGTTGAGTACCTCAAGCCGCTGATATGGTGGTTTTTTGGTATCCAGGTCTCTCAGACACACGCCGGTGCAGCCAAGACCTTCTATTATGTTTTTCATACTCCTTGTGGTGATTCATCGTCCACCCTGTGGTGGACCTGCCTCAGACAACGGAGCATGGCGCGGCAATCGATAGTCTGACATACAGAGGACATGACCCAGCCAACTTAGTTGATGCAGCCGAATCAAATCAGCAATTAGACAGTCAGTCGATTCGTCGCCATAACCATTCATCGTACTTCAGCATTCCTAATTCGATGTTCTCGTGATACATATGCAACGCTTCGAAAGCGCATTGGAAAAGCAATATTTTCTTGTCTTCAGCGCGAAGCTAACAGGCTTCACAACCGTAAAGGGATACTGGATGCACTACCACGATGTAGATTCTGCCTTCCACTGATGTGCTAACGTCACATCGACCCCAGAAGTCTCTACATTGAAGGAAGGCAGAACGCGCTTCAACGATTCCAGCAGAACAACACTGCTATCCGAGGTGATATAACTATCCAGATAAGCAAATTAGTTCACCATCCCTAGTGGTTCTGATGCGATGACCAGCTTAGGGGTCCACTTCCTATTCTTGTACTGACACTGCCATGATGGAAACCACTTTTGGTGAACAATCTTCGTATACTCTCACGCTCCTACGGGTGTTAGGGTGTGGGGATTGGAGATGTGTGGGGAAGGTACCCAAAACACCTTTGAAGGAGAAAGATTGCGCGAACGACTGTGTCAAAGAAGATAATAATTGTTGTCCTTGCAAATGTGTAGTGGTGTTCGAGAAGTTGTCACAAAGTTAAAATGTGGCCAATACATCGACGACTCGGACGGATTCCTTCTTGGCTTTCGCGATTGCTAGTACGATTATACCTGTGACCAAATTAGGCGTGATAGTGACTAAACTCGATATCCCTGATTCTCACATTCAGATCTGACACTCTTTATGAGGACAGGAACGACATCAAGTGGCTACTATTCCTCTGTCACCTTAAACTTCTTCCATATGGTCTGCGTTTTTTCATACGGTGGACGAGTCTTTTTCTTTCATCCGTAAGCAAGGCAGGAGAAAGGAATTAAGGACCATGCACTTTGTTTGGTTTCAAAAACTTCAGTTTTTCATTCCAGCTTCTTTTAAGACTGAGTGGTTCACGTCGAGGCGGTTGGTACGATAAAAATTAGGCTAATCACTTCAGGCCGAGATCCTTCGAGGTATTCTGTCGACCGAAGTAAGCGGTGGGACTGCGACTGATCTTTTGAATCGTTTTACTCTGTAGTGACCTCTTGCGTTCTTGCGCCCACGTTACCGATGAGTTGGGAAAGATTTCGATCATTTCCAAACGCTGCCACGTTTTTTCATTTATTGGCATGTCCTTACCCACCGCTGCTCCCGGTTTGCTTTTACACTTGGGATCAAGAATCGTTTCGGTGATCTCGTGAAATCACGTTGTCGTCCTGGTGGGCCAACTTCCTGGCCTCGATTTGGGATGTGGGTCGTTGTGAAATTGAATGGAACCGCGATGTTGTTTACGCAATCAAACACCGAATTCATAGCTTGTCCAGGGGCCAACCGCTTTAAATAACGAATATTACATTGGTTGTATGTTCCACTTCCCCGTTTTCCGGTGATCAAAATTGTAGCAGCTGGGACCAACGTGCCTATGCTACGCGGCTTATAGCTGATAAATTGAAATTGAATGATGTGCCTATGCTACGCAGCTTATAGCTGATAAATTGAAATTGAATTGAACTGGGAAGATGTTACTTCCCGTTCCCGAGGTCGAAGAAGGTTTGTTTGAAGTACCCCATCTTGAGCCTTCGACCCAACAGTCTGACCCATTCGGTTGTGGGAAGCTTGCCTAGCCCGGGGACACAGTAAAGCACAATTGTCTGACTTCTAATGCAGCTGCGCACAGCAGGTGCCTTCTAAGCAACACCAGACTCTTTGATTTTCAGGGGCTATTAACCGTATTTTCGTATTTTTATACCGTATTTCCCAGTCTTACTTTTTCCGCCTAATCGTACGGACCAGTGTAACAAGTACCGACGGAAGTAGCGTCACAGCTGAGCCATTCGTTTTTCTTTATTTTTCCATTTGAACTACCTGACGAAGCGTCACTCCTGGCTAAACACTCTTGTCGAAGTTCTTCCGTTTTGTTGTTACCCTGTAAGCTCTTAGTAGTATATATTTTGAAGTGCTATCTTTGAGTTGCATTTGGTAGTCAAACAACTAAGAGGTGTTTGTTCGTTACGACGCTATAGTTCTTATGAAACACTGCCTAAATTGAATCAGCTCATTGTCTTCCAAACTATGTCTTCTTAAGGTAAGTAATTTAGACGACGAGGCTCCGCGTATTGTGATCGATTATGCCACCGGAGGCCGGAATGACTACAAGGAAATCCGGGAGAACAAACCCGCTCCGTATTTTGTAGCATTCATCACTGTGGATGATCCTGATCTGACTGACGCTTCCCTATCAGCTTCGTACGTCGATGGGACGACAATGCATTCTATCGATTCGTCTGCTGTCACATGTCAGCTCGATCCTCCACAAGAATTCTATCGACTTGAACGAGATAAACGGAACACGAAAGCGTCAACAGTGCGTTATAGTCTGTCAACTCAGGCTCCCCTGGATCGCGAGAGGAGTGCCGAAGACCACATACGCATTGTATGTCAAGATTCTGGCTCACCGGTGAAAACGGCCACTGCGGTAGCTACGGTATGTTTTCACAGGGTATTAATTGATGCCGTGTCACGCTAAAACATGAAGCCATGAGCGGCTTCCTATAAAACATTGACTGGAGTTTTTTTTATTACATGCACTTCTTGCAATTCTTCATTCACTGTACCGATAGCGGTCTCTATAATACCGATTGGTGGGCAAAAATACCCCAAATTCAAATTAATATGTTTCGGGGTAGGTTCAACTTTCTGTCTTTCATGTTACAGCTTAGCTACTCTCGTTAGATATTTTAACATCACATGGAAATATTTTCGCGCATTATACTGATACTTATCGAGATTTATTTTAGGCTCCTACAAGTTTCTTACGCCGAATAACACTACATTCTATGATGTATGAATCTGGCATTCCAGGACTTTGATTTGTCAGTTTCATAGACTCCACACATTTCATAACTTAAGAGGTCAGGCTACTTCATATTCTACAGAGCACAGTTCGCTATCTGAAAGCAATCTACTGGATTGCAAGTAGCATAGTTGGTTCTTTTAGAAGCTTGCTAAGTTGGGAATACCTGGAATTCTATTGGTCACATTCCGAAACCTAACTCGCTCTTTCAACACTTCTCACAGCGCTTGACACAGCGGGTCAATTTGATGCTTTTTCACAATAGGGTTTTATCTGTATCCCAACTGCACAGCCACGTGACCATTGTATCCTGTTCTACGGCAGCGAAGCCTCGGTGTTGAACACCGATGTTGATGACGATGATATATCCTGTTTTGCTGTAATTCAAGAGCTTTCCGATGGCTTGTTCTGACATCAGTCCTCCATCGGCTTAGTCATAACCGCGCTTTCGGAAACCCATGAACTTGCTCGTTAGTTATACTCCATTTAAGCCGAAAGAGCACCTCTCACGAAACGGGACTTCTTTGAATGCTAGATTTTTGGCGACAAATACCATTCGACTTGAGCTGTGGGGAGTGAAACCCGGTAGTCTTCGCTTATCTACTTATGACTTTCATCCTGCCTATTTAGCCAATGATCTGGAATTTTCTATTTCAGTGAATATCACTGACTGGTCTTATAATCCTTGGTTGAAAAAAATCGACACGGTATCTTTAAAGCCAAAAGACAAGATGCACTGCGCATCCTGTCAACTGCGCGCTGCCAACCGATGTCAGTGGCGTTCTTGTTATCAGTTTCTATCCAGATTGCCTGAGTGAATGTCTGGAGGTGTAGGCACCTCGGAATGATTGTGTTAAGCTAGCACTAAGTCCCTTCCCCGTCCACCTCTACTCTTTTCTTTACAATAAGGCTTTCGAATAAGTCATGGTTGTACGGCAGTGAAGCATCGGTGTTGAACACTGATGTCATGCTGTCGATGATGATGATGGTGACGATGAATACGTTCCCAGCATTGTGTAGAATTTTAACTACTATTTGACTATGAGTAGGCACTGTCTTGACCATCCGCATCGATTCAGTGGCAATCGACTGTTTCTTTGTGGATGAGCATTTCGGTGTTGGCAGTTTCAAATATATTGTGTAAACCTTGGGAAACCGTGTGCCGCGTTCCCATTTTCGTCTTTATTCGACTTGTGGATCACCGAGTTCTTGTCTGGTCAGCCCTCGAGACATGTGGGATATAATTACTGTCGTGAGGCATGCTAGGCACTTTAGGTTATTCAACCAACATTCGGGTTTTCGGATGCTGTTCAGGACAGCTGACTGAGCAATGCGCTTCAACCTAATGTGCAATACATCTTGTCACGGCCCAGTTACTCAAGTTCACTCAGGTCTTGTGGAACAGTCCTGTCTTGCTGAAATCGTCCAATCGGTGGAAAAACCCGACTTGGACTTCCGTTTTATTGCCGAGGTGAATGAAATGTGTTGCCTTAATTCGGCCGGCATTTCCTACGCAGCATAATGATCGAACGTGAAATTAATGTTACAATTCCAGTTTGTGGTGATAAGAATATGGGTTCAGTGACCGAGATCATTGACACAATTCATTGTTGGACCTTGAATTCCCCTTCCCAGCTTTTAGTGGCTAAGCCATCATCTTACATTCACTCAGTGCCCTTGAGTGATAATGTTTTCTACAGGATGATGGTAAGCATTCTGGAATATAAAAAGCCTAATGTGACTACGAGAGAGTAGCTTCAGATTGAGTGGAAGCGTGGCTCTACTTCTTTCAAACCGGCAATTAAGGACATAGAATCTCAAGGTTGACACGAGTTTTTGTTTATCCGCTCAGCCTTACGTCAGCTTTCGCAATTCCAGCGAGCTAGTGATATTTGCAAACTTGTGATGCTCCGTTGGACCAACATCGACGCGAAGAAACTGGTACGCGAAAATGCAGTAATGATATATGGAAATTCTTCCTCCACTTTTTGGGCCTTCTACAAACTTTACAAACTCACGATCTTATCAAACCATATCGAAGTTCAATACCCCTGGTGAAGAGCGAAGTGGAGAATCGAAATTCCACTTTCAGTAGGTGGGATTGGTTGGATGGTGGTTGAAGTAACTCACTAGTCTTTGTACAGAAATTGCCCATAGACTCAATCAACGATACATTGTACAGAGTCTGAATCATACTACAATATGACTGAGATCAGGTGGGTGTGGTAATTCGTGTGAACAAACTGCTTACTTATTCAGATACTGTGTGTCCATTGATGAATTTTCAGAGTGTTTTCAAATGGGTGGTCGTCCGGAGGCTAGTCTGGAGGGTAAGAACCTGGAAATCTGAGCCAAATGGCCACGTGCTTGATCGTTCGCGACTACATAACGAGGAAAGTGTCAGTGTGGCTGGGATTTTGGAGGCGACCTCACCTGCAATGAATTCGATTCGTTTGAAGTATTTTTGTCTTCCTTTACGTGTTTTCAACACAGTGTCTCTTATCGGAATGCGAGATCAGAAGTTAAGGTGTTAACATGACTTTGGTGATACACTGCTTGAAAATAAAACATGTCCTATCCAAAAGTATAAACCTGTAAGCCAAGTTGATTAACACAAAAATTTATCTGTTTTACGTTCCACAGGTTCGTGAACATGCCCTTCAAAGAAACAGGAAATGGTTTATTTCAATAAAGCATTTCTTTAAGCATCTGACCCTGATTAGAGCTTACCAAATCTATGTTGTGACGTCACACGATCACATGATCCATTATCCAGTCCATCAGGCTGCAACATTCAATAGATTGTTACTCTCGAAACAGGGTGCATTCTTCTCTGAGCATCACCATCCATAAAGTTGCTTAACACCATTCGGCAGCCAACGACCGATTTCTTTCTTCTTGGGGCTCATCAGATGGGCACAGTCCTCGAGTTCCCGCCAACCTCATGTTCTGCTTGAACCCAAATTGTATAAAATTAGCGTGATACTGATTTCCACATCCATTTGATTTCAACAGGAGACTGAAGTGAATTCCATCTGAATGTCTTTTTCATGGTATTGACCAAATGGATGTGCTGCACAATAGCTGTCTCATGTTTCAGTTGGTACAATACTTACAGGACGAAATCTCCACGAAATCCCAAATCTCCTCACACTACCAACAATCTATAAGTAGCTCGGTGGAGGAATAAACTTCACCCGATGAGTGAAACTTCTATCTGAGAAGTCGTTGCTCGAGGAGCCAGTCAACACGTGTGACCGCGTGATGTGGATCTCGTGATCGAAGGATGAGTGGCGCTATATCCTGTCTAAGTGCAAGTTAATCACACTTCTGATCAGCCACTCGTGGTCGAACGGTTAAGTGTTCAGACTACTAGCCGGAAGGTCGCGGGTTCGAGACTCTTCGGAGTTTCGTGAGATGCACACTGATGATGATTCTCAATGGGGATGAAACAGCTGTACAGACCAACCTCATATTCTGCTTGAACCCAAATTGTATAAAATTAGCGTGATACTGATTTCCACATCCATTTGATTTCAACAGGAGACTGAAGTGAATTCCATCTGAATGTCTTTTTCATGGTATTGACCAAATGGATGTGCTGCACAATAGCTGTCTCATGTTTCAGTTGGTACAATACTTACAGGACGAAATCTCCACGAAATCCCAAATCTCCTCACACTACCAACAATCTATAAGTAGCTCGGTGGAGGAATAAACTTCACCCGATGAGTGAAACTTCTATCTGAGAAGTCGTTGCTCGAGGAGCCAGTCAACACGTGTGACCGCGTGATGTGGATCTCGTGATCGAAGGATGAGTGGCGCTATATCCTGTCTGGTTCAAACTCCGGGAGGTCGCGGGTTCGAGACTCTTCGGAGTTTCGTGAGATGCGCACTGATGATGATTCTCAATAGGGATGAAACAGCACAGCTGTGATTCCCGGAAACATTGATAAAACCATCAAGCTCACTGGCTGGAACGTTATTCGTTGAAGGATGATACGTGAGACGCTTTGATAGGTATATGTCTAGAAATTTCGAGGCATAAGTGCCATTCACAACTCTGTACAATTAAGAAGAGGCAAAATTGCTAGAGAATGTGGTGAATTCAGCCATTTATTTACTTTCAGTCAGTTGGACGCTTAAAGTTGATGTTATAAGAGATTAGGGTAGGAGGGTATGAGACATATCGATAGGAGCGAATGACTGCCAACTCCCCGGGCGAATTAAACAGAACGTTGAGCTTGATAAACCCATTGGCTAATAGGGTAAAGATTGGAGGAAAATCAACGGAGCGGGGGTGACAGGGTGCAGGTCAGAGAGATCAAGCACAAAGGTCGACGGTGAACTGAGCAATAAGGACTCCCTTTGACTGACCATGTGAATCCCGTGATTGAGCGATGAGCGGCGCTGTATCCTGTCTAAATGCGAGTTAGTCACACTGCTGATCAGCCGCTCGTGACCGCAAGGCTAGGTGTTCCAACTACTGACCAGAAGGTTGCGGGTTCGAGACTATTCGGCGCTTCGTGAGATGTGCGATGTTAGCGATTTCCAATGAAGGTGAAACAGCTGTGGTAGTTCTAGGCCTTTCAGCCTAGATTAGCCTCACTTAGAGGACAAAATCCCCACAAAAAACCTAAATTTTCTCACAATACCAATAATGGGTTTATGTTTCCTGTCGGAATTTTTAAACGGTTGGTACGGTATTTGGTTTAGCGAGGTGGAAGCGCTTACAATTAAGATAGATCAAACAGTTTCATCATTCATATTTGTGAGTCTTATAGTGACCCAAATAAGCATGGTTTTTTGTAAAGTTTGAAAAAACATCAGCGTATCTAGATTTCCTACACCCAATATATTTGGTAGTATATTCCCAAATAGTTGTAAATTAGTTGTTGACAATATACACTGAAAGCAACCAGCTGAGGGAACACCAAACTATACCAAATGAACGCCTATGAAAACCCGAATTTCTGTTGGTGTAAATGAATCACAACATTATGCTTGTTTTGAAGTAAAGTACTCTTAATCCAACTGGAAAAAGAATTTCGGACATCTGTTGCTCGGTACGCGATAGTGGTCATTTTGTGACGTACTGTGCCCTTTGTTACTCTCATATAATTTTGTAAGGAAATACATAATGTGTATAAAGTCAGATGAAACCGTTTTGCATTCAGTATGCATTAACTGGGCATAACGATTTTCTGGGAATTTCAAACTTGCTACAATTAACTGGGTAATTTTGTCAGCTACCATGATCAGGGGACTATTTTCCTCAGTATGATATGTTTTATATAGGAAAGTCACAAGAAATATTCATAAGAAATTTTTGCAAACACAGGAGGAGTTAAAATGTCTCGTATCATTCACCCGGTGTGATTGGATAGTATTGGCTGATATCCGAATAAGTCCAACTCTGCATCCATTTGCCTTATAACTACCAATATCCTTCGATAATGAATACGGTAAAGAAAAGTTGCCTGTCGATTTTGTCCTAGAAGACTATCAAAAACCGCTTTAGCAACTGAAAAATTATCTGTGTTTCTCCTTCTCTTTTCATGCAGTTTCGCACCGTCTTGGGATACTCTTGTTTCGACCAGAGTTCAAGGGGTAACTTGATGACAGATTACGAATCCATCACAACTGTCATCTTTTCCCGTTGCGGGGAAGACGTCATGTAGTACGTGTAAGGTGACCTTTTGAATAAGGATTATAACGTCACAATCGATATCTTTTCTTCTCATCAACAAATCGCACACGCACGGCAAAGGTAGTTAGCTTCGGTTGTTTTCATTTGAGGTTTCTTCCGGTCACTGCAGCCTAGAGTAAGCCTAGAGGCACTGTAGAGCTGTTTCATTCTTATTGGGAATCATTGATGGTGCGCATGTCACGAAAATTCAAGACGTTTCGAACTCGCAGCATCCCTGTTAGTGGTCTGAATATATAGGCGTCCGGCTGCGCATGGCTGATCAGCTTTGTGATTAACCCAAACTTATTATTTACAATTATTCATTTGAACAACTTAGTTGAATTCAAATCAGTTAACACGATTTTATCCACGGAAGTAATAATGACAAACCGTCTGCGAAGAGCTCGAGAGAACTCAGTGGTTAAAGCTTGAACCTAACGACCGGAAGGTCCGTTTTGCAAATCCAACTCGAGTATCTCAACCGCTGTTGCTTAGACTCGGACAACTTGGCCTTAATTCTCCCTTCAGATAGCGTGGCAGCTATGCACCGAAAAGATGCTACATTTGAAGAATTATTTTCTGTGAGGTCCGCGGAGTGTCACCATGTTTTGAGTTTCTACTGAGGACAGCTGGAGCGAATAGTATTTTTTCAGTGTAGACCTGGTAACCCAGTGAACGACAGTAGGACGTTACAAAAAGAAGTGTGGATGATATAAGCCATTTCTTTCGGAAAGTGATAAAGGTAGGAAACAGGCAATTTTCCTGATCACAGATAAATTAAATTATGAGCCTCTGATTTGGCGACTACCATTTAGTACTTAGAACTGCCTTGGACATCGTTAAAAGGCACTTGTTTACTTCTAGAATCTCTTAAGACCTGCGATCTGATATTCTCTTTGGGAGCTGTGAGTTTCTTGTCCACGCGGATATTCTTGTCCTTCCAGGTGATGCTTATTGATCATTTTCCTAGTGGCAATTAGTAACACAAAACACGTCACACTGCAGCTAGTTTATCCTATCCTATTGGGTTGAGCCTGTCAGGTGGTGGTAATCACAGGAAATGGGTGATCGCCACCTGCTTCAGCCATCGGGAACAATGGCCAGGGAGTCGTTTGATTCCAAACCTCAAGGGTTCCATGCATCAACTGTACAAGTATTACAAATCATTTTTCTCGTTTATACAGGTCTTTTGTGACCGCCACTTCCGATTGGTAGTTCCAATTTTGTATCCGTTTTCCGTCTAATCCTCGTGTAATTTTGACGCCATTAAGTCACACGTATCACCTTACGCTTTCTCGCGTCTCTCTAATGCAGGTGAAAATATTGGATGAGAACGACTGCACACCTGTTCTCCAAGTATTTTCCACTTTTCCAACTCACGGAAGTTCCGCCACGCCCGTTGAGTCATGGTCCATGCAAAGGTTGCGCAATCTGGTCACGGAGCTTCCGGAGTTGTCTCAACTGGTGGCTGCATACATGAGTTCAGTGCCTGTACACACGGTTCGAGTATCAGAAAATCAACCAACTGGAACCATTTTTGCCCGTATAAGACCGGTCGACAACGATGCTGGAGAGAATGCACGAGTGACGTTCGACTTACCCAAAATGAACGAACTGGTCAGTGTTTCAAATGAATATAGCCAATCAAATGGTCAACTTTCAGGCTATCAGTCCGAACAACACGGCAAAATCGAATTTTCCGTCAATCGTGAAGCTTTAGATTACTTCCAGATCGATGAGATAAGGGGTGACTTGTCAACACGTAAACGGATTGATCGAGAGGAAGGATTTTCAATTTTCGAACAAATATTTTTACTTGTCAAAGGCACTGATCATGGAACACCTGAACAGCGTTCAGCACTTATCCTATTAGACATTCGAATTGTAGACGACAATGACAACCCGCCCACTTTTCTCGAACCAAAGATGCGTTTCGATATCCAAGAACGTATCCCTGCCCCAGCAATCGTGGGCGAGATTCGTGTGGTCGATCCAGATATTGAACCACTCTTCGCCGCTGTGGATGAAGCTGTTCAAGGTCAACATTTGAACAATCTAAACAGACTGGCCTTCTGGAATGATGCTCAGGATGCCTCACGTAGTCGTCTACAACTTCGGATCGATCCAGGTCATGGTAGACGTGACTTGCCATTTATATTGTACCGTAATTCTCAAGGACGCTTCTATTTGAACACAACGCGCGAACTGGATCGTGAGGCAGACGAGGCCTTCCAGTTTACCATAATCGCAACTGATGCAGATGCCTCACCTATTCTTGGTGTGTCAGGCAATAAAGGTGGACACACAGCCACTGCGTCGGTTTCAGTGAATGTGCTAGACACGAATGATAATTTTCCAGAAATCATATTTCCAAATCCAAGCACATCCAATTCCACCGTACACCGTGTTTCCTACCGGGAATATGTTGGTTACGAGATTATCAGTATTAATGCTAATGATCGTGATGCTGGTGAACAGAATGGGAAGTTTCATTTTGAACTGGTTCCTGATTCTAAAAGTGTTGAGTTGTTTACGATCAACCGGAATACTGGACTGCTTCAAACACGCCGAGTTTTGACGAAGGAGGATTTGGGTGAACACGTTCTTCAAGTTATTGTCAGAGATGAGGGCAGTCCTCCATTGGAGACACGTCTCACTCTTCGGTTGGTAGTTGACCAATCAGAACCGCATCGTCCGGGGGACGCTCGACACTTATCCAATTCAAATTTGAATGCTCATTACTATGAACAGCGCAATCAGTGGGGCGCGCGGACATATCGTGATGGCGCCATTTCCATGGAGCCGACCACGCGCCCTTTCCACACAGAAATTTTACTGTCCGTAATTGTGGCCATGATTCTCATCCTATTACTCATCACATTTGGATTGTGTTTGTATCTCCGGCGGAAGCACAATTCGTTGTCCGTAGTGCTAGGAATCTGCGGCAACATTTGTGCTTCCCCGAGTCCGACCGATCCAGCAGCAGTAAATCGCTCTATGGAACAAAAATCCATCTATATGAAAAACGAATTAGATTTAAAGAAATGCTGCGTTCCTGGTCAGCATCATCAGCCGAACGGGGATCAGGCTCGTCAGCGTTCGCACTGCCATCCAGATTCGTACAAAGAACTGACAGAAAAATTGTTGCCTGGACAAGAATTCCATAAATCAGACCTATTTGGACCGACCTTTCCTCGCAGTCCTGCCCAGCATCAACAACACGGTAAAATGCCTCGACAGCAGCACCCGATTTCCCCTCAATCAGCAGGAGATCACTTTCATAGTTCCATGAATTTGGCAAACCCTTATTGTGGGTTCACGATGAAAGATGCACCTGGAGGCGATGTTAGACCCGTTCTACCTCTGTCGCCTACACTAATCGGATCCGAAGGCCTATTTCAACCGATCGCTTCCCATTACCCTCCCGGTACAGCTATGGCTGTGAATATTCCGGATGTGGCTGGGCAGGCAGAATCTCAAGTAAGTGGTGACGTTATATATGGTCTATCCGAAAGCTCGTACATGGTTGCCAGTCTTGAATGCATCCAGACTTTGCGATAGGTTGAGATTTACTATATGAACGTTAGACGTAAGAATACATACGCACATACGTAAAAACATGCAAAACATGTAGGAATATGAAGGTGGAGAAGCAACGATAGAAAAAATGAACACCTATATAAATTGCACATTCAGTCATACAATCAACCCTATGGTAAACAGAGAGCTCGAGATGGGTCAGTGGTTAGGGCACAAATTTAATGACTGGAATGTCCTTGATTCAAACCTAACCTCTGCATCTTCACTGCCCCAGTCTAGGCTTGGCGGTATTTCAGCCGCGAGCCTCCTTCATGTAGCGTGGAAGCTAGGTACCGAAAGGATGTTACAACTGAACGATTATCATTATATCATGATGAGCAGAAGACGACTTCATGCCAGTTCATGGGCTTCAGTGACCGTAATCGCAACCATCGCTAGTTGTTTAGGGTTCAGGTATTAGGGTATAAGGGGTAGGACCTGAAGATCCATGATGGATGTAGTGACAGATTTATGTATGTAACAGTTTTGGACCTTGAGGGTTGGTTCGACCCTTGTCGTTGCTCAGTGTGTCAAAAGAGTTTGACTTAGACATTACAGTCACCATGGCATTGGTCACGCGACCTATTTTACACAACCAATAATTCCTTTTTTACCACCGGCTCTTTCCATGTCTCTACATAATGTTATATACTTTGCTTCCGCGATTGAAGTTCGTGAGAGAAATGCTGACCTGTCAGGACCCATACAAGAACCCTGATTTGATTGGCTGAATAGAGATAACTGTACACCCAGAACTTCTAGAATGCTGGTGAACTTAGTGCCTATCTCAACGTGACACTAACTTGATTTGGTGTTTGAGGGTTTGTGTTTGGTTTACTCTGGAGAGGATGACTCTACGACGACCTAGTTTCCCTCACGTTAAACTTATTAAATAGCATCGTTCCTGAATGTAAGCTACAGCAGACCATGATCAAAAGGTGAGTAGTCATGGTGAGACGGCGAGATTGAAACAGACACACAGATTTATGCGTAGGCCACAGCTAAATCTTGACCTTGGAACTCAGCAAAACAACCCCTCGGGATCTCAATTTTTCACTAACCATCATAAACCGGTAATCAAGCTATGTACCCAATTAATTAACTATATGAATACTTGAGTGGAAAACTGTGCAGGTTTTTCAAAAACAGATGAGCTAAAAGCTTCGATACTACCCCTTGCGATAAATTTGTCCGGACCAGAATAAAGCTGATTGTAGCGCGGAATCGCTTGATTATATGAAAGTTTTACGTCTGTAAACCCGTCTTTAAAGGACAACTGAAGGAGTTGACATTGTGCTTGACGTTTGAAATGATACTGTAAGAAAAAATCATGAAGAACTTGACGGCTTGCAATCGGGTGCAAAAACGCGCTGTTTGTTCGTGTCAATTTTCGTCGACAAAATTCGGTGCAAAATTTCAAATAGGATCAAAATGATTTATTTGGTCTGTGCACTAGAAAAAGAAGGTTAACCCACCCTTTTGATCTGGCCTATTACTACCAACTGCTTGCACAGATTGGTTTCTCCATCCTCTTTAAAATTCGATTAACCCTGCAGCGGTGCTGGTGTAGAAAAAATAAGACATGGCCCCTTTCTAATAAACTCAACAACTGTCGCGAACACTTTTCAGGAGAAATAACCATTCCTCAGGAATCGTCATTATGGCGTCTGAAATTGTTGGGGATGTTCAAATTTCCAATATCAAATTTCACTTCACCGTCTTTGTGTAGGACAAATCCCCACTTCTACTGATTAGTTTACCACCTTTCCGTTCAGTCTGTAAGAGGGACGATGGTTTCGGTAAGAACGCAGCTTTCTAGCTCGAGTCAGAAATTCTCGCTTTTTTTTCAAAGTGTTACACTTCCATCCGCCTTGATGCTTCCATGTCCTGAAGAAACCTCATCTTGTTCGTTCTGAAGATACATAATTGTTGTGATGCCGTAAAGCGGCTCAAAAATCTGTCCATTTCATTTGAAGATGACCTTTTTATCAGTATTTCGCTGCCATTATGAGACGTAATTGTTGACTCTACAAATCCCTTTGCTCTTTGGCTATAGCGTGCTCAGTACATTGGCTATTGTCAAACAGGTCAACCGACAATGGCCTTCAGTCCTCCAGTGAACCAAAATATCAATGCAGTACTCTTTACGCCAGGTATGCACAGTATATATACCTTACTTTCCGGTTGTTTCAAATCTGCTTGCGGTTCCAATCTCTCTCTCTATCTATGTCAGGATATGCTTACTTTTTGCGGTTGAATTTCTTGCAAAAATAACATTTTTGAGGCAACACCCACTCTGAAGTAAGTAAATTTTCTGCTTGGTTTTTGGAGCAGCCGACTTCGAGATAGCCCGCTGGTTAGGGTTTTAACTAACTGTTAAAAAGGTTTGTGGTTCGAACCCAAATCGAGAATTTCAACTGCTCCTGTCTGGGTTTGGGCAACCTGACAGTATGTCAGCTCCCATTCTCCCTTCGGGATGCATGATAGGTGAGCACAGTTGGACAAAAGTAAGTTTTATTATCATTGCGGATAAAATACTAACGAACCAACGTGATTTGAAAGCTAATCCCTTAGTTGGCTCCTGTCTGATGCTCGGCTCATTTTCAGACTTTGTACCGAACTTTGAGGCGGCTTGTAGCAAGAGCTGAACATCTGCCGAAGCGTTGCGAGATGCTATGATGCTATTTGTATAGGACTGGTGAAAACCTTACAGGGGTGATTACTGGGTTCACTTTTTTAGAGCTCATTATTTAGGTAAATTTTAATCTGGAGTCCCGTGAACCCTATTTCCAGCTTGAACACTAGTTTGAAGTTGAACGGTTATTTGCAAACTGAGATGTTGTCAGCGTGAGACGCCAATAGTGCCTCATGTCAGAAAAAAGTGACAAAATTTTGAGTATTGGCTCAAACGAGCCATGAACTGACCATCACACGGCTCATTCGGTTGAATACTTTCTTAAACGGGAGGTTAGTTGAAATCTCGTTTGGGTCTCAGGTTTTGACCATCTTAGTTGGGTATGAATGTCCAACTCTTAGACCTTCCAGGGTTATTAGACAAATCTCGTCTTGGCTGCTTAAAGGGAGCAAGTCGGCCTAACGATTTATAAGTGTCAGCTGTGTTCTCGACCCCGTAATTCTACTTAGATCGAGTAAAATAATATTTGTCTCACGGCCATTGTGAGTTCTGTAGGTGACAGTAAACTGTTCGGCTTCTTGGATATGTCTCGCTCATGAAGTTCGCCATACGTCTTCATCCTAGAATCTTCCTGAATCAGCTTGTTTTCATACACCCGGTGTAGCGTGTACCATCATTAGGTGTACCAGTACCTATATTTCCTCAAGCGCAGAGACGTTTCGATCAGTGTCCTTATGATGTTGTGTACAGACATTTTGCAAGAAAATCTGGATAGCAAGGTCAATCAGCTAGTGCCGCGTGGAAACGGTTCCTTGATATAGGCATTCGGTGAGATGGCGAAAAAAGACGAGGGCGTTTATTCGATCGGTCGTTAGTTGTGAGCTTGGATGGTATGCGTTAGGAGAACGAACTAGGGAAAATATAATATGAATGTGGTGTTATGAATAAAAGACAACCTTGGCTAAAGTACTAAACAGTGGTATTAATGTGGAGTAAAGACAAGACCAAGGAGCTACCAGGCCAACCCTGATTGTTTCTGAGCACATGAAGAGGTTGACTTGGTTGGTGGCAAGGGCGATCGAAAGCGATGGTTTTAAACAGATGTTTAGGAACTGCGCTTCTTTGGCAGCCAAAATCGGTTCTTTCCAGTCCCTTTTGGATGTGCTACCGATTCGTGTTGAAGATGCTTGGTCCTTTGTACAATGCATCTGGTTCCACAATCACAATCAAGTTGAAAATTAAGCTTTGGTTGGCGTTTAGTTGAGATGGATGTTTTTAGGTGCTGTTGTTACTCTCGCTGCCTCCCCAACAAACAACAAGTTATCAGCATTGTGTGTTCGTTTTAGAAATGGATTTGAGTGACGTTTGATTATGAAGATGCTGTCACTCTTGGATGACAGTGAGAGCTAGGCTGTTTATTTCTGGTGGCTTTTTGAGACAAAATTAGGAGGATGTCTACGTTTTAAATACTCATCGGTACACCTGGCCGGATACCCGTTTCCGTCGAGCGTATCCGTCAGGTGACGTATCCTCCCGGTCCAGTTTGTCGTCTCTTGTGATTTTATACAATCTGTCAAACGAATTTAATCTTGCGAATGAAGTCGCGGGTTTGAGACCCCCTGTAGATCCGTGCGATGCGTACTTATGATACTCCCCTGTAAGGATGCAACAGCGGTACAGTGCTTCTCGACTTTTCAGCATACACTGGCCTCACTGACAGGACGAAATCTCATGGGTAGTTGTCTGTCATTTTTGTCTCAGCTTCCGATTTCAACACTCGGAGCATTCTTAGCTAAATCTTCCACGTTGTGGTTGGTTTTCTTTTTCTGCATGTAACTTTTGGGCTCGTTGGTGAAATTATCCATTGTGATATTACAACCCTTTTTGAGCAACACTTACTGCAATGAGGTCTGAGCAACAAGAAACCCTGGTAGTTTAGGCTATCCTGTCAGACTTAACCTGGGTACGATTCATCGACGTCAAGTGATCTCTGCGCTGCTTTTGATTCAGTTTCAAACTACTGGACCTCTGAGACTCACTCTCCCTTGTGGTGAGACGAGCAGAGGAATCACTCGGGAGATACGGCTACTGCGGCGGTGCTAACGCCTGATTAGAGTGAGTCCACAAGGACATGCTCGTCCTCTTGGCTATGAGTTTTGAAACTTATCAAACGCACTTGCGTGACTTACGTAACTCTGTGATAAAACTATGGTAGCAATATTCATTATATATAGTTGGGCGAAGACGTACAAGATGAAGAAATCACGGTCAAAACCGAGGAATTCGTGCTGACTCAACGGTGGAAATATGTTAGAATATCGGTGGATCGGGTTCGTTTATTGGTAGTCGACCCGGTGACCATTGATCCGTTTTCCGAGTTTGATGATTCCCTTGAAGGCATTTTATCATTATTCGAGTAGACTTTAGTGCACGCTCAAGTGCGCACTCGAATGGTGACAGAACGTCTGGACTGCCAAGGTTTGCGGACAGATCAGTGGCCACCTGATCAATTGCTGATTGTTCCCTCGTCAAGTTTTTTTTCGTCAATGAGGATATATCCACACTCGAGAGTTTCACTATGGTAATGATTTCTGTTGGTTTCTGTTGTCCCTTATGAACTATAAGCAGTTGTCGCGGTTACAGTTTTTTCTGTACACAAATTATTGTACATCACACTGTATTATCGACTGTTTTTATCCGCACTCCAAAGCCAACGGACGAACAAATGCGTACAATGTTGGTGGCATGTACGAAGCACGGCATATTGTACCAGACTACGTTAACAATCAACCAGAAATGACCGATCTACACGGAACTTTCCCCAATATGCCTGCATCCGATTTTCGCTCCATACAAGATGATTCACACGTGTATCAGGTGAGGAGACATTGTGATTTTGCCCTGTGCACTGGTGGTCAGTTCCGAGACTTTTTACGGTACTGTCCTGTAGATTTTGACGGCTAACACAAACTCTTCCACACATCTTATCCCTCAACAATGGTTATCCTGAGGTAACGCATGAGTTACGCTATTAAGGGTAACGCGGATAGCTGAGATGGTCTTTCTGAAGCTCAGGTCATCTAGAATAGGCTAGCTAGTCACACATTATGCCTGCTCAGTTTTAAAAATCTACTTGCTGTACGTACCGGGTCTGTCGGTGTTAGGAGTGCTTTTCCACAAAACCGCATTTCTGCTACAAATGAAAATTGAATTGTGCGGTGAGGAGATCAAAACCAACAGACTCAACTGCGTGTGTTCTCCGCTCAGAGATCCCCAGGTGGGATACTTCAATGCCTACACAGGTAAAAGCGAGTTTTCACTAGCCTGCAATTTTTATTAGAAAAACTACATGACCAGTTAGGTTCGCCGTAGTTGTCTGGCTAAGTGCTCCAGGATGTCTCGGTGTTCTCAGATGGACACTTGATAAAGTTATCATGAAACGAATGATAAATACCGATTAGTCTGTCTCTTTTGATGAGCGAACACTACATTAATAACACATTATTAACAGTATCAGGGATAGCAGAAATTTTCGACCGTTCTTAGGATGTGGTCTGATCATTCTGATTTGTTCAAGAAAACTGAATGTTGGGGAATGCTTATGGGTAGCTGGGAGATTTTTTTTAAACTTTATGCCACATTACTGCTTCCAATTTTGCCCTCGTGTCTAGAATCTCTTGCTTCAATTTCAGTATATTTACTCGGAAAAGGCTTGTAGAAGTGGACATCAGACAGGCGCAATGCGTCCGGTCTGCGGAACTGCAAGTGGGATGAAGCCCTCAGCAACGTTTGATCAAAGAAAAAGCAGGAAGCAACAACTTTACCAACCAGAACACGAGGAGGCTGTCGTCTGTTCATCGCCTTTAAACGCCTGGCGCTCTGACCCCTCTCTTAATCAGGGTCTGGATGGTCGAGGTTTTGTTGGACATGATCTGGCGGATTCGATTACAAGTGGGTCAAAGTCATTCCGTCGATATAACAGGTCCAAGGCCACCGATGAACAGGAGGCTGTCGCTATTCATCGCCTTTAAACGCCTGGCGCTCTGACCCCTCTCTTAATCAGGGTCTGGATGGTCGAGGTTTTGTTGGACATGATCTGGCGGATTCGATTACAAGTGGGTCAAAGTCATTCCGTCGATATAACAGGTCCAAGGCCACCGATGAACAGTTCCCTCATTCAGTCAAGTACACCGGCCGTTCCGGTCAGGGACTTCGAAAAACATATAAGTATTCCACGTTTAATCGGTCCGACAAGATCTCACCGTCATCATCGCCCCTGTCGAGGGTGGAAAATTGCGCCCCGATGACAAAACAGGAGTTAATTCGACTGGTTGGGCAGAGCCCTACTAGTCAGCGCATTGGTGAAAATTATGCCGTGTCATTTCCTAAAGTACAGGCTAGCTTTGTTTAGCCGCATTTCAGAAACCCACCCAAATTAGTTTATTTATTCGCCCAAGATTTTCATGGATTGTCGTTCCACCCATCAGCAGTGAACAGTTTCCACGACATGACGATGCGTCACTTGTTTTAAAAGCCCCATTTTCCTGCGACGTTGCCCCTCCCCAATCCCTATTTTGAGTCATCTTATTTATGCATCTCAATATGAAAACGGTGAATTGTACAGTTTTGTACATAATTGCATAATTCTGACTTGTTGTATGTTTAATTAAGCTTTTGTATAAAAATATACACGCTTGTTTTTCTTCATTGTTCCACTAAAGCAGTTCTTCTCTAGGGAAACGATATCGCTCTCTTGTAGATGATCGGAGGCCACATTTTTTTTGTAAAACGGGGCTGGACGGAGGGCGGATGCTGAGGGGTCGTTGGAATTGCATTGTCTAATGTTTTGGGGACATGCGTTGTTTTCGGTCAAGTAAACATCTAGGCGATTCCAGTGTATAGTTGAGCGGAGTTTGAAGCTTTCACGGACAAGCTTATGGTCTGACTGCCCCCTGTTACCAACGTTTGCTCCTCGGTACCATCCGAAGTCTTCCGCCGAGGAAGCTCAACGGGAGTGAACCAGAAAATGGTTAAGCTGGTGGTTCGTCTCCCGGTCGCTTGAATGACATGCCAGGAGGATGTCTCTTCGGGTACTGAAGACACATCCTGTTGGAATAAGCAAAATTCGCTTAGCGATCTCCGTTTTCATATCGTTGGTCACAGCCAATGCGTTCCAGAATTGTCCGTCGTTCCGGACTGATACAGCCAGTACCATTAGTCGGCACTCAATATCTTGATGCGTTTCGATATCAAGTTGGCTAGTCGAAACAAGGCAAGCAATGTCTACGTCATGGTTATGTAGAGTTCGTGGCTTAATCGGTTCGCTCCCGACGTGGAGATATGTTTTGACATTTCAGCAGCCAGTGAGGCGATGTTGTATTTTAAGGGCTCCTGCTCGCAAATTATTCTTGTGTGACCTAGTCATAGTTTCTTGGGTTTGTTGGGTAGCTGGTGTCCTTTGGACTCTTGCTTGAGCATGCACAACCAATCTCAAACTACAACAGAGCGGGCGAAGTGTAAGTGGAGACAGAACAATACCGCCTGAATAGCGATGCCATCATGGTCGTTGGATTCTATAGGTAAGCTCATCCATCCAGTCTGCAGGCGCCGATCCACGCCTACACTGCCGCTGGTTAGAATTAGGGTTTGGCCAATTCCCTTGGACTGATGACCAATAGACGTGTAGATAAATCAGTGTCGGACACCTGCCACAACCATTTCATCTTGGTGAATACACCATCACGATGAGGTATTGAAAGGGGATTTCCCATCACAGACCGCATGATAACGGGCCACGTAGGAGCAATTTAGTCGGCCACAATGGAGAACTTTGCTCATTCCCAGAGCTACCTATTCCTGACCGTGCTGAAGCATTTGGGAGCAGAAAAATCATGAAGATCTACAAAGTGACTTTCGAGACTGGGTGAACTATGCTGGTGAGTGACCTCTAACATAATGTTCACAGAAAGAGAGCCTTACAATGTAGGCTGTCGTCAGGAAACTGTATTATCGGAAGAGTCGCTCATATGGGTAACAATGCCTGTCTTGATAGAACCTCAAATCTACTCCGAAAGTGCGGAATAATTAGATGATTCTGTGAATCTAAGATAATAAGGCTTTCATTCAGTTTCACGCATAGTCGAACACTGTTGGACTTACAGTGTTGACAAGTTAGCTTCCGGTACGCAAGTACCGCAAGTCCTTAGAACATGTCAAAATTCAGAGCGCGAAAAAATACGACAAAGTCCTCCGCATTTGTCGAGTTCCTAGTTATCGCCACGTTGGTTGTGAAAATAAATTCCTCATCATGTATTGTGGTTCTTTTTGAATTCCGTTGGGATGTTCGCATCGACATAGATGACAGGTCGAACCATACTGTAGTAGGATGTTTCAGTCACGATTATGTCAGGGTGTAGCCCAGTAATCGACCACACCCAAGGAGTGTCTAAAATGCCCGGATACAAATTCGTTTGCTTCTGCGCTAAAATTGCGCAATATGGTTAATTAATATATTATTATTGTTATTATATTTAAATTATGGTTAATTTATTCCTACTCCTCAATCTCGCAGAACTACTGACGTCAAAAAGACAATTTTGTGGGCTGACTGCTTCCCCAAGGTAAAAGTGCTGTACTACAATCTCTTTAATTATCGCACAGATTTGGGTGCTATCACCTTCTGCACTGTCCATCTTTTTGAAGAGTTTATTTGTGGTCGGTCCCGTCATTTCATGGCGCGTTCAGTCCTATGCATTAACCTCTTAAGGAGCCCCAGATCCACGTAGTAGTACACTCATCAAGACGGGTAAGTGTGTTTTCTCCAACGAATATTGCAGTTTTCTTGTTAGCATGGCGTGGTACTTCACAGTAATTTTGGAGACGATCGCATACTGGAGAACAGTTCTAGCCACCCAACCGCGCACTAAAGATGTCTTCGTGTTTGGTGTCGAAACGTTTGTCAGCAAACTGCCGAGCTCGGAGAACAGATCAACGACCACCTGATCAACAATCAATAAACGCACCGGAACTATTTTGACACATTGCCAATAGGGCCGCCTTATAGGTTAATACACGTTCAGAATCACAATGACTGTCTTCATCAGTAGCATACCTTTCTTGCAGTAAAACGGATTCAAACTTGGGCATCGGACTGGGATGGAGAACAGACGACCACCTGATCAACAATCAATAAACGCACCGGAACTATTTTGACACATTGCCAATAGGGCCGCCTTATAGGTTAATACACGTTCAGAATCACAATGACTGTCTTCATCAGTAGCATACCTTTCTTGCAGTAAAACGGATTCAAACTTGGGCATCGGACTGGGATCTGTATACGGATTTCCAGTGCCGCGTGAACGAGTACTAATGTTCTACAAGGTTCATCTGTGGTTATCGGAATTTAGGTCACACAGAAGCCAGTAGACTGTACTATATCTCGTAATTTCCGGACGACGACCACAGTACCTATCGGGTTGAACAAAATTTTTGGACATTCGGCCTGGAGGAGTAAAACGGGTCATGCAAGACCGAACTCGATTGGGTGCGTCTATGTGTGTCCCCAACTAGGTTTGTTTACATTGCTGTGGATAGAAGTACGACACCTTTTGAGGTATCACTGTGTGCACTATGTATGCATAGCTTATCGACTCATCCAGTGTTTCGAGTACTTCGCTAACGGGAACCGTTTTGATGGCTGAACTGGGACGTCGCTATCGGACACCTTTTTGGAACACGTGTAATACTGACAGTGCATGAAGTTTTTCACCATTATTTTGATCCACCCTTTCGTAGATGGTAGGTTGAGTTGAACTGATAAGCCCTCGAGAGTTGGAGTGTACGGTTGAAAAGATGTTGCTGAAGATGTGCCATGCGATAATCTACTACATGTTTAGAAGTAGAAATCATGTCGGTCAAGCTCATAAACTTTGGCGTGACTCGATAGCACTCCAGTCCTAAGAGGCATTTCTAGCTGAGCATTAAATATACATAATATATGTAATATAACTAACATACTTAATGTTCTTCTTTTGGGCCGTTCAGTGGGCAGTGTTACTACAGTCGTCATAAACCTAAACCAGCGTTAAATATATAGACATATATTGTATGATATGAGGGAAAAAGTGGCTTGGGCAACAGATAGATCATCTGGGTCGAACATGCCAGGTGGGTTCACGAAAACTACGGTACATGTTGGCTGCTTATAGACCCGTGAGCACGTACTGGGACACTTAAATCTATCGATCTCCTAAATAAAGTGAGACAATCCAATCGACAATTGAGAAAATAATAAATCTCAAGGTGAATAGACCGGTTACTGACTGTCTGAAAGTCAACAAAGAGACTATGAAAATTCTCCCTCAAGTACAGTATCAGGTAATCGAAAAGAGCCATGTATGGACTATTTTTCGTTGCGATGATAATTGTTAGTCACTAATAATCCGTAATCACCTTCTGTGGAGGAACTTCATAGAGTATTCCTATATGTGGATTGGTTCAAAGCCTACAGTTCACCACCGATTTCCTAATACTGTTGTGCTGAGGATCTGTGCGTGCAACTTTCACAGAGCCCCATTTAACGCGGGCTCCTCCTCATCGTCGAGACGACATTAATGTTCAACACTGGTGCTTCGCGGGATCACTAGTCTTGGACGAATCACTGTGTCCTGTTCGAGTGCAAATTGTTGACAAATTCGTGAGTAGCAATATATCGTCATAGATAAAAACGGATACATACTAACATGATTCTCAGCTGCTTAGGCACTATAGGATGTAGTCCACACTGCGTTTCATGATTATACATGTTTTCATGTATTTATTTGCTTTCACGTCACTCCCTTTCCGTACAGTTTCCGGAGAAGCGGAGCAACTACTGCCGCACTGAAAAGGTGCGTGTTGCGCGAAGGGAAGTCACAGTCACACAGAAACCACACCTTTACGCAGTAAAAGAGTGCAAAAGTGATTCGCATTGTGTTGTATATTATCCCGAATCAGAATTCATACTAGTTCATGCTCCTTCATGAATAAATTTCCATCTCTGATTACCCGAAAGGCCAAACGGACAGGCTTATTTCCAATAAATCTGAGTTGTCCCAAAGTTACAGCATATTTGAAGTGACGATAGTCTGGACCTGGGTTTGAAATGCATGGATCGCATGCTTGCTGAACAGTATCCATTTGAAACGCCCAAAGTCGTGGCACTCTGCCTCGTGGATTTTCGGAGTGTTACGGAAGATCGTAGAACGCTCGGGCGTGCGGTAACACTGCACGGCACCAACTTGCTATGTGACCGGAACAGCTGAAATGTAGACACATTTCCCCTTCTCACACGACCACATCATTAACGACTGCTCTTATGCAACTATCTGGCGAGAGATAGGTCAGTCTACAAACTAATTCATCTGGTTTTTCACTGCACTTACCAGCTTGTATGCTGCGAAATTACCTTTGAGGTTGGAGCATTTTGTTGTGCAATATTATACAGTACCGTTTAGATTACGCACCCAACGAGGCGGCCTTGAATCAAAGCGATCGCCTTCACTACGTAGCTTCAACTTCCCGCCATAATAAACAAACAGATCCGTTTGATGTTGTTCAACGAACTGGTCCATCGCCTTCAAGCGTGGCTCTCATTTCCTTACTCTCTGTATCCTGGATGAACGAGGCTGCAGCAGCTGTAACCGCTGCACTTCGGTGCACGGTCTGTGAGCTGAACAACTGACTGACTGACTGAGGGTTGCAATCTTTTGATGTGGTCATACGTGCATCTCTGCATGTTTTACTGTGCGTCCGTTATGCATTAACGAATAAAGCTCTCTGAATCGTGATATGATTGATGATCAGTCATTATTGTCTTATTAGCCGAAGTAGCCTGTCGCACTCCGGAGTAGCTCGGAGGTAAATTTAGCAAAGTGATCCGAAAGCGAAAATTTTTGGGCATTCTAGAGAAGGGCTATCGCAAGAATCCTTGTTGCCGAGACGAGAAGATAAGACAACACACCCCAAAATCAAATTGTGAATACGTCGATGCCCGAGTAAGGAGAGCAGATCATAAGTTGAGGTATCAAGACGACGGATTTTTCCCAGATTGAAAGCTTTGCGATAGACCGACGGTGACGCGCATTGGCACGTAATGACATGTTCCGTTCCGTAAGCATTCAACCTGATTTAGACGGGTTCCCCAACAGTGAAGTTCCCAACCATTGCATACTCTGTCTCGAGTGGCGCATCTATAGTTCGGCCCATGAAATTTGTTACCACTGATATGACCACATAGTAAGTTAGCATCATTCAGCCTACGGTAGAATATATTTAACCTTCATTTTCATGGGAAAAGGTTTGTAAGACGGAAACCCCATGCAGGTTGTATTAAGTCTTTTGGCAAGAACGGGCAGCGTGCTTTGACACCTTGATAATGTACCGATGAACCATACGATCCGATCATAATTGATATTTCAACCTCGAGTTCTTTGTTTGTTGTTTTCTTTTTTTAGCTGCATTTGCGAGATATGTACAAAATATTGCTGTTCGTTGGATCGAAAACCAAAATTTTGCCACATAATCGGGGAAATGGAAGTATAAATAGTATAATCGTCCAGCTGTAATACCCTTTCGATGCCTAGCTGCCGTGCCATCCGAGGAAAGCACGAGGGCTGGGATACTGCCAGGATGCCCAAGCCTAGACAGGGAAAGTCGAGGGGCAGAGGTCGGGTTCGAAACCACGGAACCCCCGGTCAGTAAATCCGGGCTCTAACCACTTGAGCCATCTCACACAGAAATATTCGATGCTGCCTAGCCTCTGAATCAGCTTGACATGCAAGACAAGGAGAATGTTGTACCCAACTGTCCATTTGACTTTCAATTCATTCAATTTATCCTACCTATCCGCAAGGGTTGTTCATGGGTTTTCAGCCGACTACCCCAGGTTCGGGTCTACCATACAGTTCTTCCGATCCCTCTAAGTTAAACACCCTTATCAACGGAAGTACAGCTGAAACCTAAATATCAGCTCCGATTTTCAGAGAGAAAACTGTTACTTCACCATGAAAATAGGGCACCAGATACAAGAGCAGATTCAGGAATACTTTTAGGATCCAGACAAAATTACTGGAAAAAACTAGCTGTTCCAAAACATTCTGGGTGTAAACTACGAAGACACCGAAACTAAACTACACCCAAAACTTACTATTATGTAGTGTACCTCCGTTACGCTGGCGTCTGTTACTCCCCGGCACTTATGGACTCCCAAAAAGTCTGGATTGTAACCTCCGTATAGCTCGCCGGCTTGCAGCAACTGAGCTAACACCCCAAGGCCAGCCTCAAAAGGGATAGCGGCCGTTTCAACTGGTGTCATTTTAGCCGTGTTTTGACCCAACAATTAAACGCACTTAATGACAATGTCCGAACTGTACTTGCGTGACAAAAACTCGGTAAGCCATTGGTTGTAGCGAGCTGTCCTGGCAGTGGACGTGCTCGTATTACAACGAATTATCCGAGAAGTTTCAGTGTGTCGGTTGTCTTGAATTCATTCGTCGGGCTGCCCCACCGTCCCGTTATTGTTAACGTCACAACCGCAAAGCCAAAACGTATGCAAAGATTGTGTAAAAATGATGATAAATACGATATCAGACTTCTGGACAAACAACATTGTGCCTTGGATTAAATAGGCTTTATGATACTGCTTTCTTGCACATGGTTCTGAGAATGAGGGGCTTGAAGACTATCGACTTATTTCGCTATCGAGTGAGGGCCACAGGCGCCCTTTGACTACTGCGGGTGACATCCAAGAATATCGGTTTTTGAAAAATTCGATTAAGGGCTGTACTGTATATGTCGAGCGGAAAAATGCATGGGTGACAGGTAGCACCCTTCAAGAGAGACTGGGCGAATTTGATGCTGACACGAGGAGCTTGAACAGATGTAAATTTCTCACACTAAAAAACACCACAGGCCACAAGCTTTTTGTTTCGCCAGATAGGATACCCTGCTTAAACTGCGCGATTGTTGCACAATAGACTTACTCAGATGCTATTATGCGGTGTTGCTCCTTGAAAACGCGCTTGGTTTGGGCTATTTATACCAGCTTATAAATAGAAGGCTTCAAAACATCTGAGGTGCCAAACACCTGCGCATATGAATATCGGATTGTTTTGATACCACGTCTGACGCTTTGAAGTCCCGATTTTATAACATTCGAAGACCACACCATTCTTCATGTGATGACCAGGACTTAACAAGATATGTCAGTCGAACAGATAGTCAAAACAAATGAGTGACGATGAAAAGATCAAGCGCTGCGTTGTTGACGGGATTGGACCCATTATCGGAGACTGTTCACAGCCTAGCCGTTTAATCTCTGTTCTGTGAAATATCTGGTAGAATAAAAAGCCCACGGCCGATGGGAACGTGCGCCTTCCCTGTACACTGGTTAGTGATAATGGATGTCTCTTTTCAAATGTTGAAGTTCGCAGGGCGGGGAGTTGGTACACAGTAAAGGAAGTTGCTCATGTTAAAATGATAGTGTTGAATCTTACAACTTGTGCGAGAGAATATTCTGTTTAGTGAGGTATGTACTAAATCCTTAAGGCACTAAGGTACGTGGTGGTCGTTTAAAATTAATTCCTATGATCTGAAGTTCTAGTCCGGTTTCATGATCTCTAAAAAGATACCAATTTTCTAGAGTACCACCGTCTGGTGGACATGGAAGCCAAGGAGATAGAACAGTCCCAGAAATCCGGTAGTGGCTGATGACTATATCAGTTGATCCGCCCGATCGGTCCCCGGAAACATTAAGGATCAGAATGGAGCGACCACACTGAATAGAGAACTCCTCGACCGATGTATCGATCAGTTCGAGCAACAGTAATTGTGGCCACCGGCTGCCACTCATCTGGAGCTTCCAGCTGGTGTAGAATCCTGGACGGTAAACGTGGAAACCCCTATGGCCTCGGAAACCTATGACTACATAAGCCCTCTCAAGCGCCACGGAGCTTCTGGTACGGATGACCTCCAACCCGCATTATTCAAAGATGGAGTTGAAATCCTCAGTCAGCGCCTGTCCGATCTGTTGGTCCGCATTTGGGAAAAGTAAACTGTCTCAGGCAACTGGTGAGAGTCGGTGATGCTGTCCGTTTTCAAAAAACGGGCTTGTAGAGGGTGTGATAACCAGGGGGATCAGCTTGACACCGGTTGTAACCAGACTGCTGGCGTCACTTGTGCTTCGTCGCCTTATGGTGGCTCGTGAAACAATAAAATCGAGAGCAGCAAGCGGGATTCCGGCCGGGTAGAGGTGCATTGACCAAATCTTCACACTACGTCAGGAGCTAGAACAACGCCATGCGTACAAACAACCCAGGATTTCTAAGGCGCATTCGATTCGGTTGACCGGTCTGTTTTCCTTGACACGCTTACCCATCAAGGAATGCCACAGAAGTTTGTGAACATAATAGGTACCTTGTATTCTCAGATTTCCGGACGCATGGTGACCTCTCCAAAACTTTCATATACATAGCGGTGCCGGGCAGAGGTACCCACTCTCTCCATTCGTGATCGGTGAGACAAAACAGTGGTGTTCAAATAGCTACTGACAAAAGCCTTGTCGATGTGGAATATGCGGACGACATCATTCTCGTCTTCGAAGTGGGGAAGGTGCAGGTGCTTACGGATGAATTGACACGGGTCATCTCGACTTTTGGAGTGCCCTTTGCGCCCACAAACTGTAAGGTCATGCTCATGGGCATGCGACCACTGAACGCGCCACTCACAATCCAGGGATAGGGACTCGAAATTGTGGAGCGTTTTACGAATCCTGGAAGTTGTGTTAGCTCAGACTGCAGTGTGACAAATGAGGCCAAACCACGAATCTGCAAGGTTGGGGTCGCGTTTTGGGAATGTTTTGAAGTTTCTACCTTCCCACTTCACACCATAAATTGTAGGGCCGGGAACTGCTGTTGCCTAGATCACCGCAAACTGTTGTCCGTTTTTGAGTTCGAACGTCACGACAGTTCGGCTCCAACAGAATAAAAATAACTGAATGGCGTCTGTTAGCTCGAGATGGCTCAGTAGTCAAGGGAAGATCTGTTGTTCGAAGCCAACCATGACACCTCAACTCCTCCTGTCTAGGCCCGGGGAACGTGATAGTATCTCGGTCCCCTTGCTTTTTTTTTGGGGGGGGGGCATGGCAGTTAGGTACCGAAATGTCGCTACAGCTGAACGATCGATCGCCAGTAGTTACGGAAGACAGATCTCGTCACATTCAACATATGGCCCAACTGTGGTGGTGTATGCTGCCGGTGGACTGCTCCACTGCCCAACAGCTTATCTCATCATGAACTCACTACGTGATGCGCCGGAAAAGAAAACCAATGCATGCAAAAAATGCGTTAAAAGTTTGATATAAGTAGGACCAAACAGAATACCGCAAACCACAAGAGGAGAATGATGAAAAGATTGTTCGTGAGATGAGAAAAAATAAATATACGAAGAAAAGAAGTCGTGATAAAAAATCTGGCAATGACTGAAAATGGTCGTGAAATACCCTTCAAAGGAAGTGGTCTGGACATAACCGAAGTCCCTTACACAAAACCCAGTTGATAAATTTCATTCCCGGTAGACAAGATCTTTTTTCAAGCTCTAAAAATGCGTGCTTCATGTCACGCAACTCTGAAAAAGAAAGAATAAGTAGGACTAGTAAGGTATCGGAAAAGGCTGAAACAAAGCGCTCTAAGGTATTGGTAGCTCAGATGCGTTTATTGATTGTTAATTATTCGCCGATGCGGAATGATGATGTCCCCTGGTTTGGTGATCGAAAATTTGCAAACTAAATACCACGATCAGTGGTATCAGATCAACACCCACCTGACAGACAGTGCACCTTATTGATCCGACACCTCAGTACAGAGGGAAATCAGATCCCGGGTAGGGGAAATCACGAACATCGGTAAGTCAGGGATAAGTTAATTTGTTTAGATTTGATCTGAAACGTGCGCCGCGAGAGTAGTTGTAATATGCTTATCTTGCGTGTTAGACGAGTCAAACCTAAATACGGTGAGAAATATGGGCTGATGATGAGTCCCAATGAAATCGATACCTGAGTTAACAGCTTTTCTCCTGGTGTGAAGTAACCCTAATAAGCAAACCAGGACCGCGGGGTGATCAGACAACAGAGTGGTGTGTACACAGTATCGTTTTCAGTGAGACGCGTTACCTACTACGCACCATAAAAACTGTTCTGTTCATACTTAGATAAGTGAAACCATAAATCCGATTTCGATTTATTCCAACCCCACTCCATTGCTACTTGTGAAGTGTTGAGTCAATCTGATTAATGTCGGATAAACTACCTGTACTGCATACCCATGACCAGAGGGGGCCGACCCATCCGTCCGCGTTCACTCAGCAAACGATGGTCAGACTGGCTATTGCTTTGTTTACCGAGGTGAGCTAGTTGGTTTCGAACATTTCATCACCGGTGTTTTGCGGGTAAGTGCGGAGTGACTATGCTTGCATATGTAGGCACGAGGTCTACCCACCCAGAGTGACCTTGGTTTGTCATTCGTGAGTATTCTCATTTTTTGCCTTAAAACTGGTTACCAACCAGCACCGAGTGAAAAAATGTCATTCTGATCACGTGACGATACTTTGACGGTCTTGCTAACCCAGTATGACGTATATTGTGCCTCCGATATGGAAGAAAATTTTAGTAACCACGTGACCAACCCAACCACCGATGTATTCTGCCTTGTAGTTAAAACAAGCGACGATAACGCATTTTGTTTTTACTTCCCAGGGAATCTGAAAGACACCAAGAGAGTCAAATTCGGTCGGATATGAAGCGTACGAGAATATGGCAGATTTTCCACCTGTTACCATCAAGCCAAAGCTACTGACCATTCGAAGAAGTGAGAAACAATGAGAAAATAGAAAAAGGTAACTTACCATTGCGTGTTTCCCTTAACTGCTTTTCCAACAGAGAATTTCGCGCTTTTAATTCCTTGCAGTTGAGTTTCGCAGTACCCGAACGGTGATCATTCAGCTTGGCAGAGGAAACCGCTGCAAAGGAAACACAAATTTAACATCAACAACAGGTTTATTTCAACATAACTAGCTTTCGTGCATACCAGCAATCCACGAGGTTCTTGGTCATTCATGAGACCAAAGCATAAAAACAAAGTCAGTTGGGAAGAAGCACGTCTACATAAGGAACACACTCAAAGGTAATTCGGTTGCTTAGACGGCTTACAAATTCTGTTGGTACGTTATACATGGCCGCTGTTCTGTTTGAGTTCCAATTCCAGCCTCACTATCCGTCTGAAGGACAAATTTCCACGTTCTACCACCACTTTCTGTGTGTACTGATTCATATGCTTTTACTGTGCTTCATACGTTGGTCGTATGACCAGTCGTTTGTCGGAGAGGATATGAGAACACAATCCGGCGTCTCTGAGTAAAGGATAAAAATCGGGCCCAAGTGCAATTGTGTCACATCTGGCCGAAACCAGTCATGTTATCAACAAAGGGTATGCCTTCGGTGTCACGTACCAGATACCTCTGAACCAATCACGAAGCGTACTACTATTCATACTATTATCGGTCGCAGAGGCAAGCGAAGTCCGACTGCATGACACACAACTTTGTGTCCTCTGAACTTGAGCGGAATTTCGAAAAAATCCGGCCTCTGACTTATGTGATTTGTGTCTGAGGTAGGCCGTCACGAAGAGACTGGACCTTACCCAACTTTGTGCTGAACTTGAGCGGAATTTCGAAAAAATCCGGCCTCTGACTTATGTGATTTGTGTCTGAGGTAGGCCGTCACGAAGAGACAGACTCTTACCGTGATGTGGCGGTTTGTGTACCTCCGCGACCCATTGAGCTATACTGGGGAGTGTCCGCACGATGCTCACAGAGTCTCTCATACCAGGTTGGTCCATGGGTAGAGGTCCGACGAACACAGTCTCCTGGCCCTCCAGGTTGGGGGTTGGAACATGTAGCGACTTGTTCCGTAGAAATGGTAATGCATTTGCATTTCCCGCCAAACACCGCTGCCTTGTGGTTAGG